CTGAACAAGATTAGACGGAAGTTAGTTATACTGACAAATTGATTAACGACTCGGTGATGAAGCTCTATATTCATCCCCACGAATACGCTCAGGTCTTCAGAATGGTGCTATTTCCGATTTAGAAAGATGGTGATTTCTCGGTGTTGTCAATGTCTGTAATCTGGTGTACTGGCGCCGGTGTCGGGGATCCAGCTGTCAGACCACCGACCTGTCTCGGGCCATGCCGAGAGTTATCTATTAAGATAAATTGAACAGAAACAGTCCTTACGTCTCCGCACCAATAAAGCCTGGTCCGTTGTAGTCCACCTTCTTCAGCAAGTTTTGTTTGTTTGATGTTTTAAGCTGCACACTGGTAGAACACGCCCCCTCACACAATTATTGTTTATAGTAAAACAATATGTGTGTGCCTCTCTCTCTCGCTCTGCAGGTCTTAGAACATGGTACTTGTTGTTTCCTTGCCTGGTGCTCGGCATTAAGGGGCTAAAACAAGGACTGGGCGGCTCTGAGTCAGTATACTGTGTCTGAGAGGGCTATTCATGTTAAACTGGGACACGGTATCTCATTGGGCTAGCACTATACAATCTGCATCAGTCCGGACAAGTACAGGCAGTAAGTCACACGGTAAGTCAAAGCGGAAGGTCGGGAGTCAGATCCCCGGCCGTCATACGAAAAGACGTCAAAGATGGTACTTGTTATTACCCTGCCTGGTGCTCTGCATTTTGGGGCTAAACCAAGAACTGGTCGGCTTGGAGTCAGTACAGTCAAGTCTCGTTAATCCGACACTAATGATGGGAACCGATTAAATCAGTGCTATTTAGACCCCTTAATCCGACAGTCTCGCAGTCCGACTCCGACACACCTAATTTGCAACGAATTACCGAAATCACTCATTAATCAGTCTCGTTAATCCGACCCAGTGGTCAGCGTGATCAGCGTTCTCCGTGGTCATCTGCCCGGGAGTACACAGCCCGTATTTTGATGCGAGACGAATCGGCTGGTCGCTGCATATTACAACAGCTGCAGAGATAAACCTGCTTGACAATAAACAATTAATGCTTCAAATAAAGAAACAACCTTTCGCGAACTATGACCTACCAATGAAATGACTAACAGGAAGTCAACGTTAACCACTTAGAAAGCAGCTTTTTAGGCTTTGCGGTACCAGTTTCAAAGTTCCGACTTCCATTCCAGACTAGGCTTTTTAAAGTATTTTGAATAAGTCATACACTCCGTAACAGTTGTTTTGTGTTTAACTTTTGAGGGTTGCGTGATAAGAAACGTAATACCCTAACACTGAAACATAACAATATGAATATTTATTTTATGGTTTTTTTACTACGTGTTTGAATCGTTATCTATCGTATAGTTGTCAGATTTTCGATCACGAACGTTGATACTGCTTAATTTCGTTTATCCGACATACTCGTTAATCCGACATAATCATATGCAACCATCGATTAACGGGACTTGATTGTATACTGTGTCTGAGTGGGGCATTCATGTTAAACTGCCGGGTAAGTGTTAGTTGCGGATGCTCCGGGGAGAACAGGACATGCTTACCCTTTGAGTTTCAGGTATCCATTCTTTTAATTTCCATCACTATTTTTCCTTTTACGCCCTGTGGAATCTGTTTCGGTAAATGTTGGAATCTGATTATTCTCTGGCATTGTTTTGAATTGTTTTTATGGATCACAGTGCGAGCTTCGTGTTTGCTTCTACAATCACTGCAGCCATTGCGTCCATCACTGGTCAGTCTTTACAGGCACCCTGGACAACATTGCTCCACACAAGACTGTATGACAAGAGGGATGACTTCAACTTTCCAATATTCAACACTCCTCTTATGTCGAGCAATATTACAGCAGCTCCAACCTTTGGTGTCCAGATTTCACAATTTTCGAGGTACAACCGAGCATGCTCTTTCTGCAAAGGTTTCCAAAAGTGTCATCGACTCTTGCTCAAAATGTCTTTGATCAAGGTTACAACATTCAAGCAGAGCTTTATGGTAGACATGCAGAGGGCATTGTAAAATTTTAGGCATCAGTGACAAAAATGATGCCCGATGCAATACGCTATTTGACTTACACTGTATGTTCTGGTGTGTTTTTATAAGGTGAACAATGGACTTGCCTTTGCGTGTGTCTGTGACAGGTGACACGGGTGGGAAGCAGGATACTATTACCTTTTCACAAACAACACTATCATCACTATTTGATAATGATTCAATGACACATGCCCATGTTTAAGTCGGAATTCTACAACACTCTGAACATATTTCTGTTAGAGTGAGTGAGATTGGTTTTACGCCGCTTTTAGCAATATTCCAGCAATATCAGGGCGGGGGACACCAGAAATGGGCTTCACGCATTGTACCCATGTCGGGATTCGAACCCGGATCTTCGGCATGACGAGCGAACGCCTTAACCACTAGGCTACCCGACCGCCCCTATTTCTGTTAGAGCATACACCTGTAAGCAGTAGTTAGGAGAAGGTCCAGGTCAGAAATGGTCTTCAGCATTTATTTGTTTGTTTGTTTGTTGTTTAACGCTGCACTTAGCAGTATTCTAGCTGTATGACGGCGGTCTGTAAATAATCAAGTCTGAACCAGACAATGCAGTGATTGACATCATGAGCAACGATCCATGCAATTGGGATACGATGACATGCATCAACCAAGTCAGCGAGTCTGACCATCCGATCCTCTTAGTCACCTCTTACGACAAGCATAGTCGCTTTTTACAGCATGGTCATCAGCAACTCATGCTTGTGAGAGGCGACTAAAGGGATTGGGTGGTCAGCCTTGCTGATTGATGCAGGTCATCATTTCTCAACTTTGTAAATCGATGCTCATGATGTCAATCACTGGATTGTCTGGTCGAGACTCGACTATTTACAACTGTTATACAGCTGGAATTCTGCTTATTGCGGTATTAAACAAAACACACAAACAAAATCGTACTAATAATCATTGACTTCTGTGGAGGCGGGACTGTTTCTATCCAAGTGGTTGACTTGAGTGAACACTTATCAGGGCAGGAAACACACAGTCTTCGTGCATTGTACCAAGTGTATGCAACAGAGAATACTACCTCCGGTGTCTAGTGGATAGAGCGTCTCTCAAGAGAGCAGAAGGTTGGTGGTTTGATCATACCAAAGTCAAAAGAGGGTGCTTGGCATTCAGGGGATAAAACAAGGACTGGTTGGTTTAGAGTCAGTATACTGTGTCTGACTTGGCTATACACGTTAAACTGTGGCATGATATCTGAATTGGCTATCACTATAAATCCGGCCGTACAAGTACAAGTAGCCACACACGTCTATGCATATCGCAATATAAGTGCAAGAATCTTAAACGCGACGTTAAACCCCATTTCACCTCACCCCACCAACAGATAAAACAAACAAATAGTGTTGAGAGATACTTTTTCATTACAAGCAAATATACCTGACCAAGTCAGCGTCCTGCTAGATGTATCTGTGTTGAAGAGTGAAGTAACAGCGTCTATCGAGGCTACAAACTCTCTGTCTCACAATTTCTACCAGAAATTACTGGCTAAAAAAGTCCTATATTTACACGTCAAATACAATCATAAGGTCCCATGTCAAATATAATTAATATCTTTTACGTAAAAGGTAATATACGGTCACGCCTGTGAAATGGAGACTTCGTCTTTGTGTAATTGTCATAATCAGGAAGTGCAAAACTAAGAAACATTTCACTGAGGTCTTACGATACGAGTTTTGCAAGTTCTGTTCATAGTTCTGTTCATTGGGCACTGACCCGTAAGAACTGAAACACCCAAAAGTTATTACTGTAAATGAATTAGCACATCGAACCAGGGAGTTTATAACATTGAAATGACTAAACAGACACGAGAGTTTGTACCCCCTGTCTATGGGGACAGTTTGTGTTGTCGGTGCAGTAAACCAGCAAGACGACCTATACCATCATACATACACTTAACATACTCCTGCAGGGTCTGGTTGCTATAGCAACAAGGCTATGATATTCTCAGTAAGAGACCCTGGCTCTATCGAAATAAGTAGCATCGACCAAACGTACTGAATTGGAATGTAGACAGCACTGAATAATGTTCTAATATGTCTTGAATTACGTTATCATACGTCAAATTTTTACCAAGACCATAGGCCCAGTGTGACATAAATGTTATGTTCTATATATTGTCTACAAAATACAATCACTTTGTGAACTGGACCCAGGTCCTATGTGTAAATAAGTATTTCTGTAAGGATTATATTTGAAACATTAGAATACTATACAAAAATGATTTGTCATTAGATTCCACATTTCAAAGACAATTATAAACTAAACAAATTAAGTAAAACATCTCTCAAAATGAAAGATGAAAGAAAATTGTACGATCATAAACCTAAACAGGAAATCACTTTCATTATTTGATAAATGTTCATTCTGAATTATACGATACAAGTTTACCAGAAAAGAGTGATTCTCTTCTGCAAGTCATTCACAAAAAGAAACATCAATAAAAACACAAACAGGACTATTGATAAATAAATAATACTGATATACAGAGAAATACGCTCGGCAGAGAAAGATCATCTTCCCGAGGCAAGAGAGTTAACTGACTATAAAAGTCCAGTTTCCACCCTTGCCGAACTAGGCTGGTATTATGGAGTTACAATTTGGCTGGACTAACGAGTCTATGCATAGTCCAATCAAAATCGCGCACCGAAATCGAAATCCGGTTCATAAACTGTCGTGCAGATTTCGGTCGATTGCAGGATTTGCAAAGCATGTGCACCGCCAACTCGTTGTCAGCAGATATTTTCCAAATCTTTTCATGTTTTTAATCAAGGTGCTCACGTGATTTGATGAATTTCGCGAGGTAAGACACGTTTTATCACAATATAGAACTTCATTATCGATCAGATCATCTTGAGTGGGCGCTGCCATTTTGTGTGAAGCAAACGCAAGTGATACGTGGGGTGGAATCTGATTGGTCCATAGGAGAGGCTTAGAAAGGACATAACTGGTTATAGCCACTGGTGGCTCTACGATCGAGCCCAGTAATTCTTGCCTAGTTCGGCAAGGGTGGAAACTGGACTTTTAAAGTCTGTTAACTCTCTTGCCTCGGGAAGATGAGAAAGATAAATTAGGCATAACATTGTGAAAAACTAATAATGGAAAAAGAGATTAGTATTACTCAGAGATGAAAAAGATCACTCATTTAACAGGTTTAAACTTGAGTATTTTGAATTTGTTGATTATAGATACTAGTATGCAAAATTTCCAAGATTACAAACATTGCAAAAAATGAAGAAATGAATAATCACTGAAACTTAGGAAAATGGGATATTCCACAGCTATATTTGCTACAAAATACACAACTATAAATAAAATTGTGTATATAAAGTTGTGCATATAAAGTTATGTCAACATGGCTAAAATGATATGATATCTGAAAATACATGTAATCTCTAGCAAATATCCATAAATAACAATCTATAAAAGAAGAACTAGAATTGCTTAGGATTTGGAATTTACACTGTGTGCATAGTTCAGTGATATACGTTATACTCATAAGATTTCTCTCGGAGAAATATTAACGTGCATATACAGTTTGTGAGAATGACTGGAAAATTGATAACAATGCATAAAACTCATAGTTTCATCAAAGTAACGGATAAGTGAAGTCCACTTGCTGAATTGGAATAATTCAAATTTGTCAAGAAAACTGCACATGGCTGCTAAAGAACTTTGATGAAGCCATGAATCTGATTGAAGATGCATTTATTATTCACACTAACAATTTAAAAAAGAATTCAACAACAACTCCAACAAGTTATATAGTTATGTAAATTTGCAAGTGCACTTGATTGTGTGTAGCATCAAAATACCCTCATGCTAGTGAATATGACATACACTTTTCCTGACTAAATCATGTGTTTGTCTTTCCCAGAGATAACAGAACAAATATTATTTCCAAACAATGAATACCCTAACAGCTAATCACAAACACCCAAGTTCCAATAGCAATGACATATATGAAAAGACATTAAACATTCTGGGACTTGGATGTCGAAAGCAAACTTTTTAAATTACTGGTATCAATAATGCTTCCATTATACAGTGATACAACACCTGTCCAATTATAGCTGTTAAAGGTCCAAGACGAGTGTATAGCTCAATCAAGTTTCAGATATAAGTACATCTTATATAGAGGTAGAAACAAAATGATAAGAAATATTTACAACTACTCCCCAAAATATTTCCACCCGTGACAAACTGAAAATTATGAAAATCTTCATAAACCTTTCCAAATATTTTCCAAAAGAATTCCGATCTGTAAAAGCACATTTCTATGTGGTGTAAAAGTAGTTTTCTGATCCCTTTCATGTTGGTAAAATCTGACATTTCATGGGGTGTGAACAAACCCACCCTATGTTTCTGCTGAGTGGAGGTTATTTTGTGCAACATTAGGCAACAGTGTTTGAAGTCTGAAACAAAACCTACATATATGAACTGGAAGCCTGGGAATTAACTTATTACATGATATATCAAATATCTTATGATGCACTGATATACTGAAAAGAGCTTATATGAAGGATAGTATTTTTATCACCCAAAACAATTTGAGAACAATTAAACCTAGAACATATTGTATATCACATCACGTGAGATATATCTGTATATCACATCTTAACATAGTGTATATTTCATTTTATGGTATATCGACTGTCACACATCATGATATATATATTGTATATCTCAATACAGATATCAAGATATGCTGAACATATATCACACAATGACATATCCATATATGATACATTGTATATCTCCCCACTGATATAGTGTTTGTCTTGCTGCAGCGGTAGTGGAAGGGAAGGATGGGATGAACATTATGAACTTTAACGCTGTATCACAGTTTCATCACATACTATTTGGTAGCATTATGGAATCGGGCTGATAACAGTTGTAACCCAGTATGGTAAGAAAGAACATTTAATTCTTACTGAATCAGGAACAACAAAATTAAGACCTGTCAAATACATAAAAAACGACCAAAATTCACCTTTTTTGTAATTTCTTTATGAATAACCTCTCCAAATGCATGATCGAATGAACTTCTATGCTTCAATAAAACTTGATCCCACTGCCAAACATCAACCATTTGAATACTTTCTCATTTAATTGTACCCCCAAAAAGACATTCCAAAATATTAACTTAATTATTGCTTATCAACCTGCATACCCATAAACTTCGAAGAAAAACCAAAAAAAACCCAAAACATTCCAGTAACCCATTATACAACAACCTTCCATATGGATTAGTGAACCCTCCATACAAAAAGTCAGGTGAACAACCTATAGGGTTAACTCAACTCAATCATGCCCAGAATGGTGAATCTTCATAACATATATTGTTGGCACAAATTGACACATAATGCTAATGTCTTCTACATGTTCTTATTACAGGAAACGTGATCCCGAGACTTTATTGCTCGTCCTCTTTCTTCTCCTCCTTCTTGACATCACCCACATCCTTCCTGGCTTTGAATCCCTTGAATCCAGCCTGAATCTTCAGGGCTGCCTTCTCTACTTCAGGATCATTCAGATCTATGTCCACCTCTTCCTCCTCCTCAGTCTTGGCCTCTTCCTTTGGTTCTTCGTTCTCAGATTTGGTAGGTGATGTTTCTCCTTCTGAGGTCTTTATGTCCTTGCGAGCCTTGTATCCTTTGAAGCCTGACTGGATCTTCACAGCTGCCTTCTCGACCTCGGGATCAGTGAGATCGATGTCAACCTCCTCCTCCTCCTGTTTAGCTTCAGCTGGGGCAGCCTCTGTAGACGTTTCTAACAATGCAGGAAAAAACATGCATGTATACACAATATTAGATTACCCATAAGACTGTTTGTTGCTTAACACGCCATCCATCAATATTTCACCAATATTCTAGCTACACGATGGTGGCCTGTAAATGATCAAGTCTGGACTAGTGAGTCGAGCGGTTGATATTATGAGCAAAGATGCAAACCACAGAGCCTGACCACCAGATCAATTAAGTCACCTTGTACAACAAGCATAGGTTGCTGCGGACCAATTTTTAAAAGAGTTCCCATTGGGGCTTTGCACATGTGCATTTATACACTTTCAAAACTGATTGGTCATTTGAATCAATATGAAGGCATACCGTTACAATGTTAAAGAGAGCTAATGATCCATGTGGCCTTGTCCAGTCTTGGTGTATCACCTGTCATGACTAGCTTTGGGTGGTGGCCAATTCTAAAATGGTAACATCACTGCAGCATATAACATTAGGAGGGGAAGACTTTCCTGGGCTTATACCTGATTTGCTAGTGTCGATGTCCTTGCGAGTCTTGAATCCTCGGAACTGTGCCTGAATCATTATGGCAGCTTTCTCGGTCTGGGGATCCTCCAGATCAATATCAATTTCCTCTTCCTCTGCCTTGGTCTCAGCCGCTGCTGGTGGAGCATCTTCCTCAGAACCCTGGAATACAAACAAACAGAGTAAGTGAGTGAGTTCTGCATTTCAGTACTATCATGGTTTGGTGTGGGAGGAAAGCCCCCGGTGATGACGTTCATCACTTTCATGAAACCCATGAGTATGGCGCTGACAATCAAAGGATCATAACTAGAGCAACTTTGGGATTTGAACCCACAATCATAGCTAGGCTCCTCAATAAGACTTCAACACTACTTAAACTATGAATACCAGAGTCAGACACAAACACGGGCCATCTGATACGTAACGCAACTTTCTGACACACACAGGGACAATCAGATACAAACAGAGACCATCTGACACACACAGGGACCATCTGACACATACAGAGATCATTTGACACAGGGACCATCTGACACATACAGGGACCATCTGACACACACAGAGATCATCTGACACAGGGACCATCTGACACACACAGAGATCATCTGACACAGGGACCATCTGACACACACAGGGACCATCTGACACATACAGAGACCATCTGACACATACAGAGACCATCTGACACATACAGAGACCATCTGACACACATGGACCAGCTCACACATACAGGGACCTTCTGACACATACAGAGATCATCTGACACATAGAGACCATGTGACACACAGAGACCATCTGACACATGCAGAGACCTTCTGACACAGGGACCATCTGACACATACAGAGACCACCTGACACAAGGACCATCTGACCCACACAGGGACCATCTGACACACACAGAGATCATCTGACACATACAGAGATCATCTGACACAGGGACCATCTGACCCACACAGGGACCATCTGACACACACAGAGACCATCTGACACAAGGACCATTTGACCCACACAGGGACCATCTGACACACACAGAGATCATCTGACACATACAGAGATCATCTGACACAGGGACCATCTGACACATACAGAGACCATCTGACACATACAGGGGCCATCTGACACAAGGACCATCTGACACACAGGGACCATCTGACACATACAAGGAGCATCTGACACATACAGGGATCATCTGACACATACAGAGATCATTTGCCACATACAGGGACCATCCGACAAACACAGAGACTATCTGACACACACAGAGATCATCTGACACAGGTACCATCTGACACATACAGGGACCCTCTGACACACAGGGACCAGCTCACACATACAGGGACCTTCTGACACATACAGAGATCATCTGACACATCCAGAGATCATTTGACAGAGCGACCATCTTACACATACAGAGACCATCTGAGACAGGGACCATCTAACACAGCGACCATCTGACACACAGGGACCAGCTCACACATACAGGGACCTTCTGACACATACAGAGATCATCTGACACATTCAGAGATCATCTGACAGAGCGACCATCTTACACATACAGAGACCATCTGACACAGGGACCCTCTGACACACAGGGACCAGCTCACACATACAGGGACCTTCTGACACATCCAGAGATCATCTGACAGAGCGACCATCTTACACATACAGAGACCATCTGAGACAGGGACCATCTAACACAGCGACCATCTGACACACAAGGACCATCTGACACACAGGGACCATCTGACACATACAAGGAGCATCTGACACATACAGGGATCATCTGACACATACAGAGATCATTTGCCACATACAGGGACCATCCGACAAACACAGAGACTATCTGACACACACAGAGATCATCTGACACAGGTACCATCTGACACATACAGGGACCCTCTGACACACAGGGACCAGCTCACACATACAGGGACCTTCTGACACATACAGAGATCATCTGACACATCCAGAGATCATTTGACAGAGCGACCATCTTACACATACAGAGACCATCTGAGACAGGGACCATCTAACACAGCGACCATCTGACACACAGGGACCAGCTCACACATACAGGGACCTTCTGACACATACAGAGATCATCTGACACATTCAGAGATCATCTGACAGAGCGACCATCTTACACATACAGAGACCATCTGACACAGGGACCCTCTGACACACAGGGACCAGCTCACACATACAGGGACCTTCTGACACATACAGAGATCATCTGACACATACAGAGATCATCTGACAGAGCGACCATCTTACACATACAGAGACCATCTGACACAGGGACCATCTAACACAGCAACCATCTGACATATACAGGGACCATCTGACACATACAGAGACCATCTGACACATACAGAGATCATTTGCCACATACAGGGACCATCCGACAAACACAGAGACCATCTGACAAATACAGAGATCATCTGACACATACAGGGACCATCTGACACATACAGAGATCATTTGCCACATACAGGGACCATCCGACAAACACAGAGACTATCTGACACACACAGAGATCATCTGACACAGGTACCATCTGACACATACAGGGATCATCTGACACATACAGGGATCATCTGACACATACAGGGATCATCTGACACATACAGAGATCATCTGACACACAGGGACCAGCTCACACATACAGAGATCATCTGACACATACAGAGATGTATCTGACACATACAGAGATCATCTGACACACAGGGACCAGCTCACACATACAGGGACCTTCTGACACATACAGAGATCATCTGACACATACAGAGATCATCTGACACATACAGAGATCATCTTACACATACAGAGACCATCTGACAGAGCGACCTTCTTACACATACAGAGACCATCTGACACAGGGACCATCTAACACAGCAACCATCTGACACATACAGGGACCATCCGACAAACACAAAGACTATCTGACACACACAGAGATCATCTGACACAGGTACCATCTGACACATACAGAGACCATCTGACACATACAGGGACCATCTGACCCACACAGGGACCATCTGACCCACACAGGGACCATCTGACACATACAGGGACCATCTGACACACACAGACCATTTGACACATACAGGGACCATCTGACACATAGAGACCATGTGACACACAGGGACCAGCTCACACATATAGGGACCATCTAACACACAGGGATCAGCTCACACATACAGGGACTGTCCAACACACACCAGGGACAGACCATCTGACACACACGGACCATCTGATGTTGACAATTACAATTCCTCAGTAGTCTGATCCCTCACTGACTTTCAGCATTCCCAGCTGTTGAGCATAATACCTGTTTTTTGGCATTACTTTGTTCAATCTCATGTCAAGCTGTAGAGTCCACAACACCAATATATGTTATCATTAGTGAGTTAGAGACACAGCAGCAAACAGCCAAAGCACCAGCCAGGGTTACCTACCTTCAGGGCCTTCACCTCCTTACGGGCCTTATGGCCTTTGAAAGAGGCCTGGATTTTGGTGGCCGCTTTCTCTACCTCGGGGTCATTGAGATCTATATCTATTTCCTCTTCCTGTGTCTCCTCTGCAGGAGGTGGAGCAGGAGCATCCTCCGTCTGGAAGCAGAGTGAGCCACATCACACACACATCACACATATCACACACGTCAGTAGGTTATAATGGTTATGGCTGTATCAATTATTAGTTGCACTAGATTAATCACTCCCAGAAATTCAAAAGCATGTCTTTATATCTGCTGAAAACAGAAAACTCATACAGAATTTCCTTAAAATAATTTTTGTAACAGTTTAAAAAGTTGACTAAATTCAGAGATTATGACAAAAACATGACATGTTCATCGTCAAAAAAAGAGGAAGATTAGATTTAAACTGAAGTATATTTTATCGCTTTGTGAAGGCTTTTACATGTAATTTGAACATATGATGAATATAGATGTATAAACAGCACTGAACTCTCTGCTGCATAGACAACATCGTTAGATCTGCCTCCCTGGTATGTACAGATACATATAAATATCCTATATTATTGAAAGTACATGCAGGAAATGGAAACACTAATTCTATACTTGATAATGATGTGAGTGAACATCATGCAAAACAAGGCCAAGAGAAACGTTTCTGTTCATCTTTCATATTCATCTTCCCACCTACAGATAACATGACACCCAGTGACACCTTCGTTTCATGAACCGCTGCTCTAATGGTTGTCACCCTTTGCAGGAATGAGAACAGAACATGTTTTGAGGACAAATTGAGAAAGTGGAAATATTTGACACGAGGTTGAGATTCTATTTATCATCCAAAATCAGTCATAACCAGTGTCTTGAATGCACACAGTACAGCTAGCCAGCCTCAGTGTCAGAAATTAGTGATGTCATGGTAACCAATGACATCACAATGATCTGCTAAGCATTGTGATGCAATGTCTCCTAGGGTAGGAGTTTTGGATGATAAATAGTTTTTATCCCACTGTCACTGCATGATAATAATGAAATAGTTGCTGACTTTGTGAACATTTCCTGAGCTTTATGTTAACAAATTCCCTCAGTAATACTGACATCAAGCACCAGCCCAAACTGTCATAATGCTTGGACAGGAAAAGAAACTCTCAACTTATTTCTAGTGAAATAAGAAAATAATTAACAAATTATTAACGGCAAAGTCATTTGGACTTTTGATCCGGGTGTGTTCAAATAAATGGATGAACCCAGTTAACACATTCTCTTGGCCTGACAACAATATAAACAACAATATACACAATGTGTTCATCCTGATGAACTATTGCACGTATAATGAATCTTGTTACACACCCATTACTACCGGTACTCATTTGGGTGATAAAAGCTTGTGGACAAAACATGGTTAGTTTGATGTGTAGGAATAAAAAAGCTGAAACTTAGAAATTCTACAAAAATATTTCAAGCAAATTGTTAATGCATAATACAATTTTAACAACAGTTATGAAACTAATATAAACTAAACTGTAATATTAAATATTGCTACTCAAAATGGTAAGGCATCAAAAAAAGACAAATGTGATCTCGCATATAGCTTTTCATATAAAAAAAACCCCAACAAAATGTATATCACAACATAAACATGTTTTTAGCACTTGATTGTACATGCTGAAAAATGTTTAAGTAATACAAAATATGCCCATATGTGCTCTTTCACTTTTAATCACAAGACTTGTACAATATGCAGTGAGTCAAGGTGAACTACTAGCACCAGTTCTTTTCTACAGTTTTGTAAGGATTTTTAGCTATGAGGTTAATTAATCCAATTGCACACTTTGGCAACATAAATGTATTCACTTCTTACATATCTGTCCATTGATAAATGTAAAGTTTCAAGTTGTAAATCGTGTTCGCCTGATTATGTCTACAAATACTATTAATATGTGTATTCATATCCTCCAAATTTCTCATATGTGCTCCATGGAACTCTTATGTTTGCCACAACAGTGAGAGTGAACTGTTTCTTTATGCTGAAGCCAGCAATAATGTCATGGCAGTCTGAAAACAATCAGACAATCCAGGGATTGATATTATGAGCAACGATCCATGCCTTCTGTGTACAATGACATGCAATCAATCATGTCACCAAGCCTTACCAATGGTCCATTAAATCCCTTCTTGTGACCATTTCAAAGGTGGAATCCCCATAGGGAAATTCAAAAGTAATGATGACCTAATGTGTTTACTTTTTTGAGTGGTATCATCCCAGTAGAGTAAGTGAGTGCATGAGTTGGGTTTAAAGCTGCCTTAAACAGTATTCGAGTTATATCACAGTGTGTCAGCTTAACGTGGGAGGGAAGCCTGAATTGATGCAGGTCTAAGACGTTCATCACTTTGGTGAAGCCCACGAGCACAGAGCACTGGAACATAATCTGGGTGGACCGAGATTCAAACCCACAATTCTAGGTTCCTGGCATTCCCAAGAATTGCTCCCAGTGGAGACAGCCATCCAGCTGATAGATGAGTGTTTCACAAGTGATTGAAGAGAATGACTGTAACACAAGCCTCCATGTGTATGTAGCAAGTTCCATCATGCTGTCACAGTCTTAGTCCTCTAACCCATAGAACACATTTCATGGGTGAGTACAAGCAAAGGCACCATGTTTTATCACTGACGGCCTATGGATACAACTTGTACAACGTTGAGTGAGACTAAACTGTCGCGCATAGAGAACGTAGTCATACATGATTATCTTGATAGCAATTATTCTCTGGATTTGACGACAATATTTGGAGATTATGATATTTATACAGAAGGCTTTGAGGGTTATTTGTTATTTCATTTTTTTCTTAAAATTTTATGATACTAAGTTGATATTTCAGGATATATACTAAGTTGTAATTTCAAGACTCAAACTTGAAATTTCAACTTTGTATCTTGAAATTTCAATTTATGATCTTGAAATTTCAATTTAGTATCTTGAAATTTCAAGATATGAAGTTGAAATTTTAAGATCCTATGTTGAAATTTCAAAATTTCAACAAATTCAAACGATAAATTGTTGACCAAATTAAGCAAACTAAAAGTTTCTTTAAATATCATGCACAAATTGGTCTGCAGTGAGAACTGCTGTGATGGCTCGCACATTCCAGTGTCAGCATTAAACATTCGACACATTCACTCTTTTTGTGATGTCCTATATGGGTATTAATGATCAGCATGGACTAATGATCTGGATGAAATAATTATCAGATTTTCATCTCATTTGTTCGAAGTAAGGGAGGATGAATTTAATGCCATACTTTTCTTAAACCTGCTCAAAACAGGACATAATGCTTTTCAACAACAGATACGAGTTCAGTTTACCTCTGAGTCTTACTGAGTCACTGGTCTTACAACAGACATGAGGCCTGTAGCAATGACTGCCAAAGCAGCCTGGGCCCTTTCGCAGAAAAACATGCTAGCCAACAAGGATATAGATGACTTGTCCTTCCTTTGATATTAGGGGGAAAAAAATAATTCATATCCTTGAGGGACTTCGAATTTCTTTTTAAAAGATTACTTCATTCCATAAGATTCTGGAATAAATTAGTTCAGCCAAAGTTTTTAAAACAATAACAAAATAAGTCTTTCCTGGACATGTTGACTGTCTTGAAAAATATGTGTTGTTAAATAAAAATGTTCATCTCTTTGGAGTAAAATAGTGTGCGTTGAAGAAAGGACCTAAATATTCAACAGTCTTAAAAAAAAATCCCTTAAATATGAAGGTTTTACACACATACTACACATGACATGAATTAAAGTCATATGAAAAAAACAGGTGTTCTTTAACTTCTTTTGACTAATATATATATATATTAGTCAAAAGAAGTTAAAGAACACCTGTCTATATTGCTTCACAGCTTGTAAACTGGGATTATATAAAATGGTACAGGAGATTTCAGGGGTAGAAACTAGTAATTTCAGTCCACTAGTCCTTACATTGATAACAGGGCAAAACCATTAAAACTGGCAAATTTCTACTAGTCCTTATGATACCTTAACTATTAAGCAGTTGGGAAAGGACTACAGGACAAGTGCCAATTTCTAACGCTGAGATTAAGACTGGCTATTCCTGACTCTGACTATTCCTGATCAAGGCTGTGACTGCCCTTTCCCCTTCTGGTGTTCACAATCAGGGATATACAGGGATGAAAATCTGACAATTAATCTATCACGGCCCATTGTTATTAGCACCATGGAACATGCTGTGATGGTTAATACTACATCTACAGGAGTGGTGACATTATTCAGTGTCCACTTTGCAGGTTGGAAGATCTACAGAAGCTTATAAAGCAAATTTTCAAATTTTGGGCTACTCCAGTTTCCAACCTGTTGGGTTTGCATAGTTTTGCGGGACATGTGACCTCGGAACCCTGCCTGAATCTTGAGAGCGGCTTTGCCGACTTCAGGGTCCTCTAAATCTATATCCACAACATCTTCATCCTCTACAGCCTCAGCCCCAGCTTCCGGGACTACTGTTTCAGCCTCGACCTCCGGGACAACTGTCTGAGGCTCAGGGTCCTTCTCCTCAACCTGATGTTGAAGTGGGCAAATAGCATCATGAAGACGACACAGAGGATATTTGTGCTTTTTGTCAAAAACATTTTTATCTCATCAAGTGACCGGTCAAGTTTGATATTATTGTGTGTGGTGCAGTCATGAGTGAAAATGTCAACTCTGTCGGGTCAGGAGATGAGACAAACAGCTATTCAAAAAGAAAGGACAAATGTTCCGTCTATCTGTCTGGACATTCCTGGAACTTTGCCTATTTACCAGCACTCAAATCAAAATCAATATCACCAAATGACATGTTTCGCTTGGCTACAAATCCAGCAGTAATGACCCATTAAATCTTATTATTATTCTTTGGAAAAACGTTATTTGTTCGCATAAAGATACTAAAACATTTTCCATCATTCCAGATCTTCCCAGTGAACTTAAGAAGTATTCCTTCATCTCGAAATGTACAGCACCATGAGTGGGAATTTAGACAGATTCTATAAACTTTGGTCATCATGTCATTCACTTTTTCTGTAACACAGAAGTCACTGTTTTTCAGTTTATAAAAACTATATCAAATGCAACAAATAAAAAAATGATAAAAACAAAAAAAGGCTTCGTCCATTATGTATTTCATAACAGATCTTCCCCAAACCATTTTGTCACAGAGGCAGACTGGAAGTAGTTGTGGCATAACGTGTCACTTGAGTGAGAATCTCACCCGAGAGTCTTGATATTAAATATACCAAGGCAAGTCAATTAAAGTTTAAAATTAATAAACAAGGAATAAATAATTCCATAAGAATTCTATAAAGAAATATAAACATATCAACATGTTTATATCTGAAAAACAAAGTTCAAAGAAACTTAATGAAAATGTTACGCCTGTAAAATAAGATGCTTTTGACAAGCCTAAATGTTTCAAAATATAAATAAGTGAAATATGAAGGTACAAAGACGTCCCAAGAAAAGAACAAGCGTAAACAATGCTGGACATTAAGGAGTTCTTGGTCCCAGTGGCTATTGTCTGTATCAAATCTAACGACTATTATTAGGACAAGGACGAACACAGAAACAAAAAACACCTTTCAACTTTCTTTCTCTAATGAGAGTATAACTGTCACCATCAATGGAATGTTGATATATGATCATTGACTAATTTCATTTTCTGAAATCCATCCCCTTTGCACAATGAAGCTTAAATCAACATATTTGTGATAAATTTGGTAATCTAGGAAAATATTGTAACTATAATAAGTGATAGAATAATAGCATCAATGGTCTTATCTTTCACCTGAAAAGAAATTGTAATTTATTAATTATGAAAAGAGACAACTGGTACAGTTTAGCTGCAATTCCTGTCAGGGAGTTGGGTTTTACACAGCCCTTCCCAATCCTATTGCAGATGGGGCACCAATAATGGGTAAGGGTTGAAGTCAAGAGTTGAAGACTGTAGGATAGTCATAGCTCTACAATCACTTCGTGAAACAGCCCCTAAACCCTTAAATAGGATGAAACCCATTATCAGTCCCAGCTCGTCAGATTTGTACATCTGATCCATTAAGTTGACCCTTAGGGACCAACCATTCTGGGCTGGGGGAGGAATTATATCAAGATTAGATATTGTTTCAGCTACAGCTACAAAACCAGCCATAATTTTGTCTGCATTTTTTTAAAAGAAACGCACCTTGCAACAATGTAATATTTAAAAAAATTTTTTATTTATTCTTTCCAATAAAACCCCAGTCCCCCCTCCCCCACAATGTGAAATGGTCGGTCCCTTGTGACAAGCATAGCTTACTGGCACACCCCAGAACGAGTGAGTGAGTTGGGTTGTATGCTGCAATATTCCAGCAATATGACATGAGCAGCGGGCTGCACACTTTGTACCCATGGAACACTGGCGCATTGAGCAAACACTTCCCCCATTATGTATCCCTCTGCCTGCCAAGTCCAGAATCCCCACATGGGATGTCAGGGAGCCTGATGCTTTGATATAGCTTTCACCAGCAGCCTCTTCTCAGTAATTGCAGCCAAACTTTGCCAGGAATAAACACAGGCACACTATCATCAGTTGCTAAAGAATAGAGGAGTTATTCACACGAGGAAACAGGAGGAGAATGGTGTGGAGAGAGACAGGAGGAGAATGGTGTGGAGAGAGACAGGAGGAGAATGGTGTGGAGAGAGACAGGAGGAGAACGTAGTGTTAGGAAACATGCCAAGAGGAGAGTACATCTAAAATTTGCAAGTTTGATATTTGCTACTCAAGTGAAATAAATTGTTAATGGTGCATAATGCCATTGAAGTAAGTTAAATTTTCATTACTTTTATTTTTTAATTTGGACATGTTTAAGGATATATCATTTTTTTTTTCAAAAACAACCATAACTATCTGGTCTGGATAGGTTCAGCCATTTTTAGCCCACTCTGAGTGTCTTCAGTATCTCTGGTTTCTACCAGATGTTTTCTGGTGGAAGTTTGGCCATTCCGATTGTGTTGCACTCTGACAAAGTGTGGTTTGACACCAAACAACCACTGGGCAACACTGCAGCTACTTTATTAAGCCTGGTCCAGATAAACCTGTGGTCGATGATGTGAGCATCACTTCACTCCATTTTAGGCACAAGTGAGTGAGCGTGAGTAAGTGAGTGAGTATGGTTTTACACCACTTTTAGCAATATTCCAGCAATATCTCGGCAGGGGACACCGGATATGCCTTCACAAATTGTACCCATATCGGAAATCGAACCCGGGTCTTTGGCGTGATGAGCGAACACTTTAACCACTAGGCTCCCCGACTGTCCCCGTTTGGGTATAAGAACAATAAGACTTAGTCATATCCTCACTCTATTGGGTACCATAAGATTTTGTCAAATCCTCCCTGACAGTCGGTCTCACATCAAGTGAGAAGGTAATGTGACTGTTAACCTTCTAACATCTAACAGGCAGCTTGGGCCGTATACTCCCCAGGGAGCTGAGAATGAAAAATCGAGTGAACAATGATCCACTGACCGGGGTTAGAATGATGTGCAGTGCTTCAAGCATCCATTGCGTATGGAGTTATGTGCTTCACAAGCAGACTTTTATCATCATCATAATTATAATCAGCAGCTATTGTGACAGACACAGAGACCTGGTAGACCTATCATTGCTTGTACATTTCGCTATCGATATATCACCTGACAAATATCAAAATATGGCCCCATAATACATTGATACCACAGGCTGTTGAGCAGATCTCCACTACTGGGGACGTATTCTGCCTCAATATCCAAACCAGCTGTGTTCCACAGAACATCAGGGCCCACTTGCACAAAGCGATCTTAGCGCTACGACTATTGTAAGCCTATGTTAAAGTATGGAGTTACGATCGTCTTAGCGCTAAGAACGCTTTGTGCAAGTGGGCCCTGGTCACCGGTGGTCATTTTCAGCTCATTTCAGACTAGGGGTTCATTTAAAGTACCTAAATTTTGGTAGAAAAAAACTAGTCCATCTGGATTTTCAGTAGTCTCGGACTAACGGACATGTGGCAGTGTCTATCCCTGACCATCCCACTGGATGAGCTATTCCTGTCAATAAACACAGATGTGTATTGTACACATGGTCATGTAACAGTAGTACCTCTCTGAATTTCTCTCCGGAACGGACCTCCATATATGGCAATAAGAAAAGTGTTGTTAATTCTAAACTAAACAATCCAACCATGCACTGGACAAATTGTCCAAACCAGTCTCTAAACTCATCATGGTCTAAATTACGAACAGGGTTGAAACTAAACTTGGACAAGGCTCAATAGTCATGCTTTTCAAACCTTTTCCGGTTTCTTATTTTTCCGGAACATACGTCCCCGGAACCCAGCCTGAATCATGAGCGCCGCTTTACTGACTTCGGGGTCAGCTAAATCTATATCCACAATTTCCTCATCTACTGGCTTATTGGCTGTCTCTGGAGCTGCCTCATCCTCAACCTATAGATGAGTGGAGGCGATCAGTGAGGCCCAGTCATACACATATATAGGCAAGGATTCATACACACATAATCCACACCTTTTAAAAAAACCCAGCTTTCATGACCAAAATCTCGACATTTTCCAAAAACAAACTCGTTGGCAATTTTGGCCTCTGTTGAGCAGATGTGCTATGTCACACTTCTTATTATAGGTGAGGTGAAACCGGGTTTAACGTCGGGTCCAAGATTATTGCACTTATATAGCGACGTGCATGCACGTGTGTGTGTGTGTGGCTGCTTGTACTAGTCCGGACTTATGCCGATTTATAGTGCTAGCTCACTGAGATACCATGCTGCAGTTTAACATGAATACCCCACTCAGACACAGTATACTGACTCCGAGCCGACCAGTCCTTGTTTTAGCCCCTTAATGCCGAGCGCCAGACAGGGTAACAACAAGTACCATCTTTTAACGTCTTTTTGGTGACATGGCCCGGGATCGAACCCCGGACCTTCCTCTCTCCGGGCGGACGCTCTACCATTAGACCACGGAGGCGGTCACTTCTTATTATAGAAATGAAAGACTTTATCACAATGAATGTGTTTTTGTGTATTTGAAGGACGAATCATAATGTGAACGAAAAGAAAATATTATCATGGAACCAAACCTATGAAGTTTCTTAAAGATATTCAAGGGCTTTCTAATTCCTTTAAGTGATATTCAAGGTGCTTTGAAGGTATTTTAAATTTAAATTTTAAACATCAAATTTTTTTTCTAAATCCAAGGTCTTTTCAAAATGAACCTCAAATTAAAGGACTTTTCAAGGTTAACATCAAATTTCAATGTCTCTTACAGGTGGACTTTTTAAAGTGTGTATGAACCCCTTCTAGCTGCACATAAAGGACAACACTCATTGAAACATATAACTTGTGTAATAGATAAATTATCCCCCCTCCCTGGTGTAGACCACATAAAATGACACACACCCTCCATATACAACCTTCATATTCCGTGAAAGTAAGAACATGTCTTCAAATTTATAATCAGATAATCAGACTCCAACTTCAATTACAAAACACATTGATGTCACATCCCTGTTTTTTTCTGAATAAGGAATTATTGAAATGTAAATACAATATTCCTTGAAACTAATCAAGATACCTATCCAAAATAAGAATCATCTGCTGAAAATGAAAGTATTATATTATTATTATAAAAATATAACTCCTCTAACTACTGTCCAATCAGGATACATTGGGAGCATCTTGTTGTTCAGTCAGGTAGTTTTTGTTGTTTGTTGTTTAACACAGCACCCAGCAATATTCCAGCTATATGACGGCGGTCTGTTAATAATCGAGTCTGGACCAGACAATCCAGTGATTGACATCATGAGCATTGATCAACGCAATTGGGTGAGTGAGTTGGGTTTAACGCTGCTTTTAACAGTATTCCAGCTATATTACAGTGTGTCAGCTTATGTGGGAGGAAAGCCCGAAGTGATGCAGGTCTCAGACATTTACCACTTCAGTGAAACCCACAAGCACGGGTATGGTGCTGACACACCTAGAAACATAATCGGGGCGAACTGGGATTCGAACCCACAATCATGGGTTTCTGATGCAACTCTGCACTGTACAGCGAATCACGGCACCTGGGACACACACTCACACACACACAATATGGATACAATGACATGCATCAACCAAGTCAGAGAGCCTGACCACCTGATCCTCTTACTGGGGTAGTCACCTCTTGCGACAAGCATAGTCGCCTCTTACAACAAGCATAGTCACCTCTTACGACAAGCATAGTCGCCTCTTACGACAAGCATAGTCGCCTCTTACGACAAGCATAGTCACCTCTTACGACAAGCATAGTCGCCTCTTACGACAAGCATAGTCGCCTCTTACGACAAGCATAGTTGCCTCTTACGGCAAGCATAGTTGCCTCTTACGACAAGCATAGTCGCCTCTTACGACAAGCATAGTTGCCTCTTATGACAAGCATAGTCGCCTCTTACGGCAAGCATAGTTGCCTCTTACGACAAGCATAGTCGCCTCTTACGGCAAGCATAGTCGCCTCTTACGGCAAGCATGGGTTGCTGAAGTCCTACAATAACCAGCATCTTCAAGGGTAAGGGAGCATGTCAACTGTTTAGAACAAGGTCATGAAACACACCAAAACACCTAGGACATCACTATGTTACAGTCACAACATCCACAACACAGTTACCACATCCACTACAACAGTTACCACATCCACTACAACACAAACATATTGCAAGGAAAGAGTCCTATGAATATGTATTGAAAAAGAAGCGGTAGCAACATATATATTACATAAATACATGACACTTTTTATGGACAGCAACTTCTTTTAGTGTTGTCATGACGATTCAGAGCTACTGCATGTATTCATGTTCCCACAACTTCTAAATGCTTATGAAAGACTTCAAAGTTTACAAAGCGCCATTTAGTATAAGAGGGAGAGGGAGCGTGAAAATTCTATAAATGGATCCCTGAAAAGTCAGTGATGACACCAGGTTTTCAGGAAAAGGATGAACATAATTACGAGAGCAAGGGAAAGCAAAAGCTGAGCTCTCATTTCTCAACATACTACTTTTGATTCTATCAAAGCGAAAACACTGACACTTCGTGACTGTCAGGACAAAATAATTTCAATTGCTGTTATATTAAAGTGACACTATTTATTGTAACATTATCCATCAATTTCTGAACCACACATGTATCTGTAGTGTTTAAAACAGGTCAATTAATTATGAATCAAGGAAGATGTATTTTGAACAGGTTGACTCATCTAGATTATAGTTTCAGTATAAATAACAAAAGCACTTTGTGACAAAGATATAGTAAACATTAAATTTGCTACAGAAAATAGAAATTTCTTCTATAAAAGATGCTTGTAATATTTTTCCCACTTTCATAACAAGTTGGACTAGGAAACAAAAGAGGGCTAAAGAACTAAAATATATTGCTACATGAACAGAAAATAAGACCGTGTACAGAAAACATTAAATTTGCTACTGAAAAAAGACAGGCTGGTAATATTTTCCGCGCTTTCATAAAAGATTGGACTGGGAAGCCAAAGAGAACTAAAGAACTAAAATATATTGCTACATGAAAAAAAAATATGATGGGACTGACAATCATGCTGAAAAAACATGTTAAACCAAAAAAATAAACATTTGAAACTATAACTAATATGGAATTAATATGAATATACAAACAATGCTGCTATGGTTATATGTGGTATCTACAAAAGCAGTTTCTACAAAAAAGAATATTGATAATCAACAAAAATGAGAAAAACAGGGGGCTCTCAAACCTTGTAATTTTGCATATTTTTACGGGCTAAATGCCCTCTGAAGCCTGCCTGAATCTTGACGGCAGCTTTACTGACATCTGGGTCATTTAAATCTACATCCACAATCTCATCATCAACATATCCTGCCTCAGTCTCTCTGTCTTGGTCTCTGTGAGCCTGTGTTGAAATTATTGAAGAAAAACTTAAACTCTCGAAACACAAGAAAATCCTTTTCTTCCCTTGCAAAAACTATCTAATATCAAACCAGCAACTATTGTTTACGAGACCTTAAATGCATTTCGATTTAAAAAAATATATATTAGCTCTATATTTTTAACAATACAATAACAACAGCCAATAAATAACAATACATTTTAAGTAATCAACATCGGGTTTATCCCATGGTTACCTTCTAATCAAAATGCATTTGATCGCAGACATAGTTACATCTACATACTACTATCCACACAACTAACAACTTGAACTGTAAATAACACAAATAAACATCAAACTACACATTCCGAATAAACATGAAATAATACATCATCTTCTATTAAACCTCAAATTCAATCCCATTACTGTCCTTCCAATGTCTAAAAAGGTTTCCGTATTTGCCAAATTAAGTGCCCTGCTCGAATAAGCACCTCCTGAAAACTTCTCGACTAATCTGTGTAAGCCCCCACTACTGAGACTCGAACTTTACATGGCAGTCTGTACTTTCTTGAGCATATTACACAGACTTTTTACAGAAAACAGAAGGATTACATCACTGCATGTGTAACTATTATCTAAAGAGTTCTAGTTTCATCCACATTTGAATGAAGTCTGTTCATGACTGTTCAATCTCTGAAACCAAATTTAAAGTGTTCTATATAGTTTTAATAAGTGCCCCCTTTGTCATTTGTCGAAGCTCCAAGGGCACTTATTATGGAGAAAATGGAAATTTAGATATTTTTCTTCCCCTATTTGTTTTTGGATACACTTGAAGAGGAACACATGTATTGGGATGGGAACAAGACTTTGATAAAAAGGCTAGTGGACGTTCTTGCCTCAGGAAGATGACAGCTTATATGCTTACATCCAGATACATTTTATCACAGCTAGACTATAATTGTAGACACACACGACTAAAACTATATTATCAACAACGAAACAATCCACTACAGAAATAGAAATTACAAATTACAAATGAAAATGATGATCACAACCTTGTCCTTGTTCAAATATGCAACCTTGACCTGGTTTAACCTTGACCCAATATGACCTTGACCTAAAATACTCTGACCTAGTACAACATTGACCTACGAACCTTCTTCTCTGTGACATCCTTCCTTGCCTTGTGACCTCTGAAACTCGCTTGTATTTTCGTAGCTGCTGATGCAAGTTCAGGATCCTTGAGATCGATGTCTGCTATTTCGTCTTCCTCTGTTTTCTCTTGAGGCTGTTCTGAATCCTTTGACTGTTAGTTGGAACAATAACAGTTAACAATAACATGCTGTTAGGTTTAAACAAACATGAAGAACATATGTTAAAAATACAGCGTCTGGTAAAAATAACAAAAACATTGAAGACAGACACTGACTCTTCTGCAAGGTGAGGTGAGGTGAAATTGGGTTTAACGTCGCGTCCAAGATTATTGCACTTATATAGCGACGTGCATGCACGTGTATGTGTGTGTGTGGCTGCTTGTACTAGTCCGGACTGATGCCGATTTATAGTGCTAGCTCACTGAAATACCATGCTGCAGTTTAACATGAATACCCCACTCAGACACAGTATACTGACTCCGAGCCGACCAGTCCTTGTTTTAGCCCCTTAATGCTGAGCGCCAGACAGGGTAACAACAAGTACAATCTTTTAACGTCTTTTTGTATGACGCGGCCCGGGATCGAACCCTGGACCTTCCGCTCTCCGGGCGGACGCTCTACCACAAGACCACGGAGGCGGACTCTTCTGCAAGGCCTGGTTGACACAAGTGTGTTCTGTGACACCAACACCCGGCACACGATGCCTTGGCCCAAGGTCAACACTGACACAAGTTGGATAAATAAGAATGAAATTCAAATGAGCAACAAATTCAAATGAGCAACATCCTCTACATATTGCTGTCTGTTCTTCTCTGACATACTCAGCTGTAGGGCTGGGGTGGGTAACTCGGGTACTCGGGTACTCGGGTCGGGTGGGTCCTGAGTAGGACCAGGGTACCCACAGGACAACCCGGACCCATGGTTAGTCATGTGACATATATATTTAATGACAAAAATGAAGTCACTAATGAACCCATTTCTTTCTGACAAAGCACCCATTCCTTCTGACTCTTATATGTTTGAATAAAGATAAAACTCCATGCAGTAAACTTCAGTGTGTGCATGACCAGATCGTTTAACACGTTTGTACCCATCTCTAAATATCTACAGCGGATACCCAGGTAGGGTCGGGTAATAGGATGGTGGGTACCCGGGTAGTACATTTGGACTCGTCCCAGCCCTACTAAACTGATTCCACAGTAATTCTCTAAAGTATATACAGTTAGTCACTGCCCTAAGCATTAATAAAGTTTTGTGATGGCAGAGAATAACAAGACTGGGTTGACACACTGTGCCCAATTTGGGAATCAAACTCCGAGACAACCAACAGGCAACCCATGAAAAATTGTCCATTAAAGCCAGATATTCAAATCCAGAATCAGAGAAAGCTAGCAAGCAACACAGGAATAATTGTCCATTAGAACCGAATATTCATCAAATCCAGTGAGAGAAAGCCAACAGGCAACACAGGTATAAGTATAACTGTCCATTACAACCAGAAAATAAAAAATCCAGAATAAGAAAACTTCCTGTCAACATGTGCTATGCTGATCAGAAACTTGGCAAGCTTCTAAGGTTCTTAGAATACTGCCAACATATTGTCTTTAAAAGCTGATATAAAACACAAAAACAGCTGACTCCAGTATTTCACCACATCTTCATTGATTCTCACCAACACAGATGACTGATCCTATTCATCTCTTGTAACAGAAGATAGCTGCGGCCAAGCTGTCTAATGGTTGTTTAGCATCCGTTTATCAAAAGTATCTCCCACACATGTGCAGTGTGTTTTGATGAAGCAGAGGATCCCTCCCACCTGACACATGCTGCATCATGCACCCCCAATCTATCACTGTGGTCTTGAGGCATCTGTCTATTCTTACCACAACCTTGCAGCCAAGATGTAGTGTATTCTTACAACAACCTTGCAGCCAAGATGTAGTATATTCTTACAACAACCTTGCAGCCAAGATGTAGTATATTCTTACCACAACCTTGCAGCCAAGATGTAGGATATTCTGACCACAACCTTGTAGCCAAGATGTAGTATATTCTTACAACAACCTTGCAGCCAAGATGTAGTATATTCTTACAACAACCTTGCAGCCATGATGTAGTATATTCTTACCACAACCTTGCAGCCACGATGTAGGATATTCTTACCACAACCTTGTAGCCAAGATGTAGTATATTCTTACAACAACCTTGCAGCCAAGATGTGGTATATTCTTACAACAACCTTGCAGCCAAGATGTAGTATATTCTTACAACAACCTTGCAGCCAAGATGTAGTATATTCTTACAACAACCTTGCAGCCAAGATGTGGTATATTCTTACAACAACCTTGCAGCCAAGATGTAGTATATTCTTACAACAACCTTGCAGCCAAGATGTGGTATATTCTTACAACAACCTTGCAGCCAAGATGTAGTATATTCTTACAACAACCTTGCAGCCAAGATGTAGTATATTCTTACCACAACCTTGCAGCCAAGATGTAGTATATTCTTACAACAACCTTGCAGCCAAGATGTAGTATATTCTTACCACAACCTTGCAGCCAAGATGTAGTATATTCTTACAACAACCTTGCAGCCAAGATGTAGTATATTCTTACAACAACCTTGCAGCCAAGATGTAGTATATTCTTACAACAACCTTGCAGCCAAGATGTAGTATATTCTTACCACAACCTTGCAGCCAAGATGTAGTATATTCTTACCACAACCTTGCAGCCAAGATGTGGTATATTCTTACAACAACCTTGCAGCCAAGATGTAGTATATTCTTACAACAACCTTGCAGCCAAGATGTAGTATATTCTTACCACAACCTTGCAGCCAAGATGTGGTATATTCTTACAACAACCTTGCAGCCAAGATGTAGTATATTCTTACAACAACCTTGCAGCCAAGATGTAGTATATTCTAACCACAACCTTGCAGCCAAGATGTAGTATATTCTTACCACAACCTTGCAGCCAAGATGTAGTATATTCTTACCACAACCTTGCAGCCAAGATGTGGTATATTCTTACCACAACCTTGCAGCCAAGATGTAGTATATTCTTACCACAACCTTGCAGCCAAGATGTAGTATATTCTTACAACAACCTTGCAGCCAAGATGTAGTATATTCTTACAACAACCTTGAAGCCAAGATGTGGTATATTCTTACAACAACCTTGCAGCCAAGATGTAGTATATTCTTACCACAACCTTGCAGCCAAGATGTGGTATATTCTTACAACAACCTTGCAGCCAAGATGTGGTATATTCTTACCACAACCTTGCAGCCAAGATGTGGTATATTCTTACAACAACCTTGCAGCCAAGATGTAGTATATTCTTACAACAACCTTGCAGCCAAGATGTAGTATATTCTTACAACAACCTTGCAGCCAAGATGTAGTATATTCTTACCACAACCTTGCAGCCAAGATGTAGTGTATTCTAACCACAACCTTGCAGCCAAGATGTAGTATATTCTGACCACAACCTTGCAGCCAAGATGTGGTATATTCTTACAACAACCTTGCAGCCAAGATGTAGTATATTCTTACCACAACCTTGCAGCCAAGATGTAGTATATTCTGACCACAACCTTGCAGCCAAGATGTGGTATATTCTTACAACAACCTTGCAGCCAAGATGTAGTATATTCTTACCACAACCTTGCAGCCAAGATGTAGTATATTCTTACCACAACCTTGCAGCCAAGATGTAGTATATTCTTACCACAACCTTGCAGCCAAGATGTGGTATATTCTTACCGCAACCTTGCATCCAAGATGTAGTATATTCTTACAACCTTGCAGCCAAGATGTAGTGTATTCTTACCACAACCTTGCATCCAAGATGTAGTAGATTCTTACCACAACCTTGCAGCCAAGATGTAGTATATTCTTACCACAACCTTGCAGCCAAGATGTAGTACCATATTCGACCTTATTAGCTGCTCGCTCTAATAAGCGCCCACGGCGATATTTGCTAATATATTGGCTAGTGAACAATCCCAATAAGCACCCCTTCCGACTGATCAATGTACATAAGACTTATTTATTCGCGTATGAGACACACTCGTGTGTTATATGCACCCTTAATTATGGGCAATTAAATTCTGGAAAAATATATGTCGTATATGAAGATTTCAGGCTGTCAGCATAAACCACGAAATTTACGATCTTTCAGCTGTTTTTTTTTCACCAAAATAATATTCCAATAAGAATCCCCTGTATCTAATTTTGAGAGCACCCTGGGCGCTTATTACATAGAATATGGTATATTTTTAGCCACAGATGATGGCACTTTTCCACACAACACACTTGCAGCATATCTAGTAAACACTTTCTGTGTGTGTAAAATCTGAGGCTCTATTTTCTCCAAAACATTCTGATTTTTGTTGTTTTTTCTTTTCCATTATTTTCTAAAAAAATTCCTACTTTTGTTGTAAATTGATGCAGATGAGTATCAGACAGCTTTCATAAAACAGCAAAAATATGATTTTTTTTAAATATAGAAGAAAAGAATATTTTTTTTACACACACACAAATTATTCGCCCGACAAGCTAAAAATGTGTTTTAAAGAAAACAATGGTTCATCTTTTCCTTTCAGAATAAAAAATGTCCAGGTCTTGAAGCAGTGACCAAAAAGACAGCGAATCTCTAAAAAATATTAACATTTCTCATCTAAACTTATCTGCTAAATGACGTCCCTAATAAAGTTGTTTCCTTGTTTCATTCAAGATATGTCAATAAACTGTGCAGAGTAGCATCCCATGTGTGTACCAGGATCCTGTGAGCAACCATGACAGAACAGCAAGGCAAGGAAAGATAACTCTTTATAGAAGTAATACACAACTGGATTTTCTCCGAGGCATAGCCAAAAATGAATGACTACCATGACAAAACATCGCTCACAGTGCATATCTCAAAATAATCCAAACAATAATGAGAAATATTTGTTAACTTTTCACAGTGGAAGCTTATTCCGATAAAAAAAAGGCAGTCTATTCTCCAAAAAGACCTTGCACCAAGGATGTATTTTGTAACTCCGTAATGGAAGACACAAAGGACCCTCACGGGACCGGAGTCCACCCAATTTCCATATCCTGCAAATTAGCAACTTGAGACTTTAACATCAATACACATA